CGGGGGGATACACCCGTACGAACTTGTACGGATGCATCAANCGGAAATGTGGAGTAGCTGAGATCATTCTGAGTAACTTTTTCCTTTACGAAAATGCAATCTGCGGCTTTGTTTACGAGTTATTAATGAAAAACACCGACCAATGAGAGGCAATGGCGCGAACCACAACGTGGTCGATCGATCGAATGCCATGTGCTCCTATCACTGAGTTTGACAGCTGAAGGGGGACTCTGTGCCGCGTTCAAATCAATGAACAAGTCACGGAGCATGAACTTTCGATATCTTTTTTTACCATGTGGCAGTGATAATTTTAAGAAAAACGCTGTTCATCCTTATTTCAGAATGTCTGAAGAATATTTACTAATTTTTCGGACCCGAAATAATATGTAGTTTAACCGTGACAGCCATTTTAATCTTCTGGTGAGCATGACACCTCATGTGTACCATATGAAATTTTTATGCAAGGTGAAGATTAACAAAGTTTGTAAATGTTAATTTATTAAATTTTAATTAAAATAACTCCGCGTCCGAACACAATTCAACGAGCGATTCGGAAAGCTAATTTAATAATAAATAATCACCTTAAAGAACATACAGGATATGTTTGTTTAAGATTTGTAAAGAATATAGCATTAATAGTAAATGCATTTGCCGTTCGAAATTGTGGGTCACGATATCGGTGCATTGGCCTCGTACAGTGCACAGTTGATCCCAGGCCGACACTGCAACGGTGAAGGGAGGGATCTCGTAGGACTGTCGGAGGCTCCTCAGGTATAGTTCACTTTCACTGCATAGAATCCGAAACACTGATACTCCAAAATTGTAGAGGTATTCTGTGGAGCGTATGGGGGTTTTATTTACATGTTATGGTCGAATTGTTTGATTCTACATTAACATGGAGTGGCCCTGAAAAGGGCAGATAAAATCACGAGCATTACGGCGTAAGAAATTGTTCAAAATTGCTGCCATTGGCCCGGAGACATTAGTTGGCACGGTACGGGATTTGCTCCTGTACGCGCCGCAGCATGTCTACTGTAATCTTCGCAACGGCACCAAGTATTCGTCTCATCAGTATCTCAACATTGTCTACTGGTTCGCGGTATTAGTATTATTATAATTACCTTTAAGTACCCCCAGAAATAAAAATCCATTGGGTTCATGCCCGGTGACCGCGGGGGGATACACCCGTACGAACTTGTACGGATGCATCAAATTTTCTTGTAAAATGCGGTGTACCGACGAACGACTAACGCTGGAAAAAAATATAAAAATATTTAGGACATTTTAGGACATTTCTTCTTACGTCATTAAAAAACACGGTAGTTATTTTAATTGCAACTTTCTCTGTGCGACGATTCAAGTTATGCACACTTTTTATGCCGCCGTTCTCAAATACGACGCGTATCAAAGCCTTCCTACTTCATTGCCGATTCTGCGGGGCACGCCGATGGAATGAAATCTTTTGATGATATTTTCAACTACATATCGAGACGGCGTAATGATATACGGATATTCCACGTGCAAATTCTCGATTGTTTGTACGGCATTGCCCTCACATTGTGCATACACCCATATTATGTGGAACTCTTCCTGATCCGTATACATTTTGACCAAAGACACTGTCGATGTTGCACTAGACAAGGTCTGAGACTGAGTAAATTGTATGTTTTCGACGCCGCGTTTACATTGGTACAGTTCCTAACGAAAATGTGAATGTACGTGTAGCGGGCCCCTAATGTGGAAAGGCAAGAATTTACACAAGCTTTGCGAATTGACGCGTGAGGTGTATATTCGCTTAAGAAAATTTAAACGGCTGTCGCGGTTAAACTACTTACTATTTCGGGTCCGAAAAATTAGTAAATGTTCTTCAGACATTCTGAAATAAGGATGAACAGCGTTTTTCTTAAAATTATCACTGTCACGTGGTAAAAACAAATCGAAAGTTCATGCTCCGTGACTTGTTCATTGATTCGAACGCGGCATGAGGCCTCCCTTCTTTCATGCTGCAGATTGAATCTCAGCTACCCCATTTCCGTATTAGGAGACATTTTTGGGACATCCTATATATGTCCTAAAAATGATATACAGGGTGGGGCATTTTAAACAGGTCACCTGAATAACTCGCTTGTTTTTGAAGATAGAAGAAAATGCATTAAACCGAACTGACTTGGTATCGGGGGGCTCATATATATATATACAATCTGGTATTACCAATTTTTCTGTAGGTGGAGGCGTCGAGGAGATATGAATTCTGATAGAGTGTTTCGAGGCGAATACAATGAACTATTATGAAGGTCATTCAAGGTCAACCAAAGTCAACTGCAAGAGAAAATAAATTGTCTCAGAGTACTTTTCGATTACTTGTATATCACGTGTGTGTATTACGTGACACGGGTCACAAAAGATAAACAAACATTCAATCACATTGTACGCTTATCTGTATCCTCAAACATTATTGGTAATTTTAAGAAAATTTTAGATAATTTTAGAAAATAATTTAAAGAGAAATTCAGAGATTTATACATTTCAGCGAAGGATTAGAAATGTCGTAAATATTTCTGGACTTTTCGTACTAAATGTCATATGGTCATAGTGTTGTGGTCGTTGCATTGGACTTGATCTTAGTTTTTACATTATGACGAAAAAAATTGCACACAAGTAAATAGATGACATTATTTTTTGATTAGATTTATAAACAAATTTGTGTGATTATTTGCCATTTTACTGTATTTTAGCTTTGCTTTTCTGTGTCATTTTGGGTGACCTTGAATGACCTTCATAATAGTTCACTGTATTCGCCTCGAAACACTCTATCAGAATGTAAGTAAAAAAACTTACTGTTTCATTTAAAAAAACAGAATTGACCTTCATATCTCCTTGACTCCTCCACCTACAGAAAAATTGGTAATACCAGATTATATATGAGCCCCCTGATACCAAGTAAGTTTGGTCTATTGCATTTTCTCCTATCTTCAAAAACAAGCGAGTTATTCAGGTGACCTGTTTAAAATTCCGCACCCTGTATAATATTAATATAATATATTAAATGAAAAATTACCAAATTTTTTTTCAAGTAACTCGTCTCGTATCGAAGGTACGTGTTATACAAGCAAAATATAACTTTTTTCTTATATGACATTTTTCTCTATCAGTCAAAGTCTTCATGCTATGACTGCTTTCGTAAAAAGTGAAATTTCCTACTAAAATCGCCATAACTTTGTTAAAACTGATCGTAGAACGATATTCCGGTGGTTAAAATGTAGGCCTTTTAAAAGTACCTTTCAAATAATATTGTAAAATTTATCAAAAAGAATTTTTCGGAAAATGGAGCGGGATTGAGTAGGATCTGTTAAAAGTGAATTTTTTTGTAGTTTCAGCTTCGATTAAATTATGGAAGAAATAATTAACAGGTATCGTAATAAAACTCACTCGAAAGATGGTCAAAAAACCTTGAAAATAATGCACTGTAAATCTCTGTACGATATTTTAAACGCGCGTAACAAAACTTTGAATTTTATAGAATTTTCATGATAGGTGGGCAAAAGTAATTGGGCGGGAATGTACGGTTGTTACCTCACCCCGCGTAATCGATGGTTGACTAGGTGAGGATTGGTGAGGATTGGAGGTTGACGGGGAAAGCAGTAGTATATAGCGGAGAATAGCCTAATGGTGGGGGGATGTCTCTCTAAAAAAATCAAAGATGGGTGTTGCGCAAGGAGAAAAATAACCGCCGGTAGTAAACTTGAGACGGAATGAAAATAGTCCGATGTCGGTGGATAATTTATTCGGACTACCACAGTCCACGTAAATCAGTGTATAAAATTGAAGCACGGCCTCCCCGCGCAACTCGTACCGCTCCCCGTCCACCACAGGGGTGAGTCGCCGCTCGACTCCACAGAGCATGGCCAGGGCCCGGCCCTTTGACGAGCCAAGAGCGACGGGTGGTTCGGTACGCAGGGGTAGCCGAACCACGTACTGCCCGTCCGCCCGCCGTGAGACGGTGTTGACGAAATGTTCCCCGCACCTCGACTCGTCGGGGGACTGAACAGATTTGGGACTCGCCTCATCGCGCTCCCAGAACAAAACGCAATTGCTGCTCCAACCTTTCCTCCGCGCGACAGTGCAGGGACGTCATGGAGGGATCGGGATCGTTCGCGGGTGTCGACGTGGCGCCCGAGACGACCCAACCGAATACCGACTGTTAATGCTCGTGGTTGATCTTGCGATCGTTCGAGCCTTGTTGTAATTTGCACGTTAGTGTGCCGACTAAATTACTATTTTTGTTAACCGGGTGCTTCAACAATTAGCTTCCCGGGAGACCTGAAACGAACCTAGAGTGTCTAATTCGACTCAGTGTGGTTAGCTCAGAACATGTATGTTCTCTAGTGCTACGATATGAACCCTGGTGGTACTATACTCCAGACTAAGCGGTTAGAACTCTCTACTAGGTATGATGATCAAAACTCTGTATCCACTGACGGATCAGGACTGTCGAATAACCGTGTGATATCCACTAGGTCACCTCGGTTATCCCTACCGTTACTTAAGGGTGGGCGGCGAGGCAAACTGCCCAATCACGGCAGGCTCAAAACCGAGCGTTAATTGGTTAAAATGAAAATGGTTGGGACCTTTGGAAGGGGTATTGCGAACGCCTCCAGGTGAGTTTCCTCCTCAAGGGAAAATTTGGAAATCTACCTCATCTGGAAGCAATTACGCCGAGTAATCCAAGTCCCAACCTCGCTAACGGCCTGGTCGTAAACCAAGGATAAGTTTTTTACGGAGGACCACTATAAAACGGTTGACGGTGGCCATGAGATTTACTATGGTCGAAAGCTACCGTTTCCGCCACTTGGGTGACAGGCCCACACCCTAGCCATTAAGGACCTATGTACCTGGCCCCCGTCGTAAAGCCCGGATGGGGAATCCCTAACATACCGCCCACCTTGAACTAATCTAGTTCATTTGCACTAAAAATTAGGCGACTATATCGTAATATAATGCTAATGGTTATAAACTAGTACAACAATGGGCAGCATACAAATTTTAGACGCTGGTCTCTTGAGCATTCCACGGGTAGTGCGAATGGTGAACACTCTGCAGATACCATCCTGACCCGGATGCAGCTCAACCACGCGTCCTAATGCCCACTTCAGGGGTGGAAGGTTGTCCTCCTTGATAAGGGCCATGTCCCCGACCTTGAGAGGATTGCCGTGTCCCTGCTTCCATTTATGGCGTTGCTGGAGATTATGTAGATAGTCTCGCTGCCATCGCCGCCAAAAGTGTTGGACCGTTTGCTGTAGCAACTGAAATCTATTTAGTCTATTTTGACGAATATCAGTGAGATCGGCATGAGGTAGAGTCGTTAATGCTTCTCCCACAAGGAAGTGACCAGGGGTTAATGGGTTGAGATCGGATGGATCGGAAGACAATGGATGTAGGGGACGGGAATTGAGGCAGGCTTCAATTTGCGCCAGTATCGTGCACATTTCCTCGAATGTGAGCCTTTGCTCCCCTATCACGCGTCTCAGATGTCTTTTTACTGACCGAACCCCACGTTCCCATAAACCACCAAAGTGTGGAGCGCGCGGTGGGATCAACTGTCACTGAATGTGGTCTTGGGCCAATGTCCTTTCGCATTTTTCATTGTGAGCACGGGATGCCAATAGCTCACCCAAATCCTTTAGTTCATTTCTCGCCCCAATGAAGTTTGTCCCATTGTCAGAGTAAATGACACGACACTTTCCTCTACGAGAGATGAATCTCCGAAAGCAATTCAAGAACGAGTCGGTGGTCAAGTCTGTTGATAATTCTAAATGAATTGCCTTTGTGGTGAAACATATAAATAAGCAAAGGCAAGCCTTTCTAATTGTCGGAGAGCGCCAGCTGTCCACTATCAAAAACGGGCCGGCATAGTCTACGCCGCAGGTAGCGAAGGTGCAAGTGGGGGTAACCCGATCGGCAGGTAGAATACCCATTTGGGGTTGCGCGCTAATAGGATTCGCCTTGAAACACTTTATACAACNTGGGGGTAACCCGATCGGCAGGTAGAATACCCATTTGGGGTTGCGCGCTAATAGGATTCGCTTTGAAACACTTTATATAACCGCGCAAAACCCTACGCGTAATCCGTCCACCAGACACAATCCAGTAATTTGCGCAAAGAGATGCGCGCATCTGCTGGCAACCAGCGTGAAGCAGTCGCAAATGCTCGCGCCTTATTAATAACGCGGGCAATGGACCCGAATTCGGTATTAATATCGGATGCCTCCGTGCGAAGCTTATCGGAGCGTTTTGGAGGCGGCCGCTCATCCTAACGATCCCGTGATCACCTAAAAAGGGATGTAAGGAAAGTATAGAATTGGATCCTTCCAAAGAGTTCCCGGCCCTCAACGTGTTTATCTCCTGGCCAAAGTGTTGCTCTTGCACGAATCGAATTACGACGCGCTCGGTCGACAAGAGTTCTCCAATTGATAGTGAGCCACGATACTCGTTATCCGTACTGTTATTCGAGCGCTGGCCCTTACGGCAAAATCTAAGAATGTAAGCTATGATTCTCAGCAACTTGCTATAACAAGAATATTTGTCTAACAAATACATTATTACATGGTCGCGGTTGACTGGAGTAGTTAACTGCATTATTTGGGTAGGCCGTGCTTCCGGCACTTCTATTGTTAATGAATCGGGCCTACTACTGGGCCATTCCAAAGCATTAGCTGATAGCCATTAAGGACCATACCACCACAAATTGCTATTCCTCAGCGTGGATGGACTCGAACCACGCGACTGTTGGTCTGCGGGATTGTCGGAGGAAATAACATGCGCCCAATTCCTTATTTCTGCCAATGTTTGTATTTCGGAGACCCTGTTTGCGACGAAAGTCTTCCATTTGGATGGGCTATTCTTGAGCCACGCTAGCACAATCTGACTATCCGTCCAGCAATGAACTTCTATTGCTTCTATTCGTAGTGAGGCACAAACCCTTGCCAATAATCTAGCCAATAAAACAGCGCCGCATAATTCTAGGCGTGGCAGACTTATCGTCTTCAAGGGTGTCATCCGAGATTTGGCACATAGTAAGCGCACGACCCACGAGCCATCCTTTCCTCGGGAGCGCAGGCATACGGCGGCCCCGTATGCCCGTTCTGATGCGTCACAGAAGCCGTGCATGGACAATTCTTCGTGCGATGATAGAGCGCGGCGCGGAATTCGCAGGGAAGAAATTTCGGCAATCTCATTCCGAAAGCTCAACCATTGGGAATGGAGGATTTGTGGTAGACTTTCTTCCCATCCAATCTGAATTTGCCACAAACTCTGCATGAACATTTTGGCCCTCACTATGACAGGGCCAATGAGTCCCAATGGGTCGAAAATTTGAGAAATTTCGGTCAATACGCGCGCGCGTAACGCTTTGTTACCTTTGGGAACAAGTTGTATTCAGAGCTATAGCCTAATTTGTCATCAGCCGCAGACCATAGAAGACCTAATGTTTTGGGTTCTCGATTTAAAGATTTGAATTCTAGGCTTTGGTTATCACCGTGCGGCTGGTCAGTCAATCTGGGATCGTTGCTGGCCCATTTCCTGAGTGGAAAACCCGCTTTCGCCAGGGTTGATATTAGCGAATTTTGCAGTTCAAGCGCCTGCTTAAAGGTCTCGCATCCAGTTAAGAGATCATCAACATAAAAGTCCCTTAGAATTGTTTCGCTGGTGCGGGGTAGCAATTGCGCACAATCTTTGCCTACCTGATGCAAAACGCGAGTGGCTAAATATGATGCTGAGGCTGTTCCATAGGTTACCGTATTGAGGCAATATTCACTTATTGGCTCATCCTCCGAAAACCGCCAAAGAATGCGTTGATAGTGTCGATCTTTCTCTCTGACCAGGATTTGCCTATACATCTTCGCTACGTCCGCAGAAAGAACGATGGAATGTTTGCGAAATCTCAGCAGTATGCTGAATAATTCGTCTTGCATTGGAGGGCCTACCATTTGAGTTTCATTTAACGAAATACCCAAGGAGGTATTTGCCGAACTATCAAAAACGACCCGAAGTTTGGTGGTCGTGCTATCCTTCTTTATCACTGCGTGATGAGGCAGGTAAATGCAGTCAACGACCCCTCCTATATCTTTCGGATTCAGTTTTGACATATGGCCTAGGCCCTGGTATTCGCAGAGAAACTCGTTGTATTGTGCGTGCAGGTCAGGATTTTTTTTGAACTTGCGCTCTAGATTAATCAATCGCCGCTCCGCTTGAGTGCGCGACTCGCCTAATTGGTGAAGCCTCTCATTAAATGGGATGGCTACGATGAAACGCCCTTCCTTATCGCGCCTTGTGTTTCTGGTGAAATGCTGTTCACAAGGATCGCGGGGATCGGACAGGGGACTAATTTCCTCGACCTCCCAAAAACGCGACAAACTATTCTCTAGTTCGGTATTGGTTGCCGCGTGAAAGAACACGGTCCTTGATTGCTGTGTCGGATCTCGCAGACTACCGCCTAACAACCAGCCGAGTCGGGTTTTCTGCAATGTTAAATTCCCGGTTCCCAATTTGATCTGACCGACGCATAGGAGATCCCAAAAGATTCCTGCTCCTATTAACAAGTCAATCCGACCCGGCGTCTGGAACTCAGGATCGGCTAATTCTACTCCGGTTGGTACCGGAACTCTGATCTTGTCCAAAGGGATGTTGGGCATTTCCTCCGTGATAGTTTCTATCACCAAACAGGAAAGACGCGATTTGAAATGGCCCGATGCGGATTTTAACCTTATCTGAGCGGAGGATTGGACTCTACTTTGCACTCGTCCCAAGCCACCGACCATCTTCTCGGTGGGCAGACAAGGCAACCCCATGCGCTCGCAAAATTCTCTAGTCACGAAATTGGCCTGCGACGCTAAATCTAACAATGCTCGGCATTTGTGATACCTTCCCTTGCCATCGGCTACTAACACCGATGCTGTTGATAGAACTACGCAATCAGAGTGGACGTTAGCGGAGCATGCTTGTAACACGTTCGACGAGGATGGCTCGCGGTCTTCCTTGCTGACCAGACTTTCCTGAGAAGTCGTCTCTCTATGGAGCAAGGTGTTGTGTGGTTTTCCGCATTTTCGACACTTTGACCGAGTACACGATTTGACACTCTGGCCAGGCAGTAAACAGTTGAAGCACAACCGTGATTGCTTCACCGTGTCGAATCTTTTTGAAAAGGGCATGGCTAGAAATTTGGGACACTGCGCAATCACGTGCTGCTCGTTGCATACTACACATTTACCTATTTTGCTCGCAACATGAGTCGCGGGTACAAAGGTCCTGATGGCTCTTTCACTATGCACTCTATTCCTTGGGCGATCAGCTCCATCCTTGCTAACGCTCGATCTACTAGATTCTCTTCGGTCGAGATATTGGGACCGCTGTTCTAGGAACTTTGATAGTTTACGAAAGGTGGGCAACGAACTTGAGTTCGTGGTACGCTTATCCCATTCGTCTAGAGAACCCGCGTCTAGTTTTCTAGCTAAACAGGCGCTAATGAGCGCATCCCAAAGTTCCGCGGGTTTGAGAATTGATTCGAGAGCACGCACGTTATTAATTGCAGTATCTACAAATTCGCTGAGCCCTTTGCCACTCGGCTTCTTTAGTGGCTCTACATCTAATAGGGAGTTTAAGTGGTGGGTCGCGAGCAACTTCGGATCATTATATTTTTCCTGCAGCCGTTCCCAAGCTAATTTGTAGTTGGCTGCAGAAACACTGTATGATTCGATGACGCGAGCGGCCGCTCCCGTCACCGACGACGTTAGGTAATTGAACTTGTCGATGTCACCTAATCTTTCGCTATCGTGCACCAACGAGATAAATGTGTCCCGAAAACGGATCCATTGGTTACAATCCCCTTCAAATATGGGGAGTTTGATTGTGGGTAGACGAACCGCGGGCAAGGCATCGGACAACGACGGTGTAACGCGATTCGAACTATTCGTAGCGGTAGCGGAGTCGCCACGAGCTTCTAATAGGCGTGCTTCGGCCTTGGACATCGCACTGAAATACGAGTCCTCAAATTGCTCGCGCTCGGCTAACTGCGCTTCTTCTTGCGGGGTACCTATGACGGCGCATTCTATTCGAGTCTGGACGTTATTGAAAAGTTCGTACAGGCTCTCATTTGCTCTTACGCGTTTTTCGAGGGCCGTTAGATCCGCGTTCGCGCTCTCGGACTCGAGAAACCTTTTAAATATGGTGAGCCTGGCCTTCACAGACCCGCGCTCAGTAAAGAATGCCTTTGCTGCCTCCATGACGTGCACGACTGACAACAAATTAAAGGGATGGTGACTTACGGACTGGATGGAGTGAGATCAGCTTGACTTCTATCGTCCCACAGGATGCCCGTTGCTTCCTGGCGGCTAGCAGTCCTTTCTTGCGTGATCCTTGCACACTGTCCGCAGTCTCGTGCACGAAGCGTGGACCCTGATGACGGCTGTCGCTTGTTCCTATCACGTCCAGAGGGGTGGTGAGCTCAATTCTCACGCACGGCAGCCACACTGGATGTACAAGCTGAAAGCGGACTTCCAACAGGTCGAAGTTCTTCTTCAAATGTTATTCGGCTAACCGGCTCGAATAACTCAACGATGATGCTCTTAGTTGTAGGAATCAAGGAATACACAGTGGACTGTATCTAATTACTCGAGCGTCCGGCTCGAGAAACAAAGTATCCAGCTCGAAGGACCAAATGTTATTGCTCGTGGTTGATCTTGCGATCGTTCGAGCCTTGTTGTAATTTGCACGTTAGTGTGCCGACTAAATTACTATTTTTGTTAACCGGGTGCTTCAACAATTAGCTTCCCGGGAGACCTGAAACGAACCTAGAGTGTCTAATTCGACTCAGTGTGGTTAGCTCAGAACATGTATGTTCTCTAGTGCTACGATATGAACCCTGGTGGTACTATACTCCAGACTAAGCGGTTAGAACTCTCTACTAGGTATGATGATCAAAACTCTGTATCCACTGACGGATCAGGACTGTCGAATAACCGTGTGATATCCACTAGGTCACCTCGGTTATCCCTACCGTTACTTAAGGGTGGGCGGCGAGGCAAACTGCCCAATCACGGCAGGCTCAAAACCGAGCGTTAATTGGTTAAAATGAAAATGGTTGGGACCTTTGGAAGGGGTATTGCGAACGCCTCCAGGTGAGTTTCCTCCTCAAGGGAAAATTTGGAAATCTACCTCATCTGGAAGCAATTACGCCGAGTAATCCAAGTCCCAACCTCGCTAACGGCCTGGTCGTAAACCAAGGATAAGTTTTTTACGGAGGACCACTATAAAACGGTTGACGGTGGCCATGAGATTTACTATGGTCGAAAGCTACCGTTTCCGCCACTTGGGTGACAGGCGTAACGATCGGCCCCGATCAAAAGATCTACGGGGAGATCGAAGGTCGGATCAGGGTCCGCCAAGACGAGGTCCTGCAGATGCGGGTAGTCGCGTAAAACAAGGTACCCACCGGCGCGTCCCCCGCACCCGTCATGGTGATAGTCGCGGGCCGTTTGGGTATGCGGAGCGCCTGGACGAGAGATTCGGAAACGAAGGTCGCCTCCGATCTCTGGTCCAACAAGGTCCTCTCCGGCCTCTCTAACCAAACTAGAGCGGTTGCGAGCACTGTTCCTGCTCCAGCGTGCGACGCAGTTGTGGACCGGAGATGACGACGCGGAGATGTTCGTTGCTGAATCCCGCCCAGGTTTGACCGCGGTTGCATCTGGCCTGGCACCAAC